ATTAGTCAAGCTATCGTGCTAAAAAGGGACAAACTAAAAACATAAAAGAAACACAAGAATGGAGAGCAGGGGGCTGGCGAGATGGCTCAGAGATTAAGAGCGTTGCCTGCTCTCCCAAAGGTCCTGAGTTCAATTCCCAGCAACCACATGGTGGCTCACAACCATCTGTAATGGGGTCTGGTGCCCTCTTCTGGCCTTCAGGCATATACACAGACAGAATATTGTATACATAATAAATAAATAAATAAAAAGAATGGAGAGCAGTTACAGTGTGAGTGGGAACTGAAGTCTGAGACATGGACCACCAACACTTGACCCAAACCCACAGCTCTCAGAAGCATCTTACTTACAGACACGAGCACTCAGTTAGCGAGATGTGGACAGAGATTCAGGAACGAAAAATGTGGCAATATTGCCAAGATTACCAGGCAACCTATAGTACATGCCCAATCCAGAAACTTGTGTAACTAACCAAACAGTAGGAAGAGATTTGTACGTGTGTGTGAATACGGTCTCCTTCAGAGAGAGAAAAGCCCACTTTAAGGGGCACATACCTGATGTCTTAGTCAGGGTTTCTATCACTGCGATGAAACACCATGACCAAAAGCCACTTGAGGAAGAAAGGGTGTATGTGGCTTACACTTCCACAGCACTGCCATCTAAGGGAGTCAGGACAGGCTCTTACATGACAGGAACCTGGAGGCAGGAGCTGATGTTAAAAGCCACGGAGGAGTGCTGCGTACTGGCTTGCTTCTCATGGTTTGCTCAGGAAGTATAGGACCCAGGACCACTAGCCTGGGGGTGGGGCACACAGTGAGCCTGGCGCTCCCCATGAAATGCCTACAGCCTCATCGTAAGGTCTCATTCTCTCACTTGAGGTTTCCTCTGCTCAGGTGACTCGAGATTGTGTCAAATGACATAAAACAAGTCAACACACATGCACACACGCCTAGATTACTCTATTATAGCATAATAGAGTACCATAACCAGTGAAGTAACAGTGTATCACTCTGCCATCGAGGAAGATATGCTGGGCGTACTATTGTGGGCAAAAAGGCACGTGATGAGATAGCCATGGGCGCAGGTCTGTTTCCCATAAAAATGTGCGCTCTCGGCTCTGTACAGGGACAGGCTGGAAGGAATGATCAAACGTTAAGGGAAGATTATTCCAAATAATTATTACTTTTGTCTTTATGCTCTCTATTTTACTTCATTTCATTTTTAAACTTATTATTATTAGCTTTCTTTCTTTTTTTCTTTTTTCTTTTTTGTTCAAGACAGGGTTTCTCTGTGTAACAGTTTAGCTGTCCTGGAACTAGCCTTGTAGACCAGGCTGGCCTCGAACTCACAGAGATCCGCCTGCCTCTTCCTCCCAAGTGCTGAGATTAAAGATCTGTGTCACCATGCCGGGCCCCTTCTTTGTTTTCTTGGTGTATGTGTGTATGGTGTGTGTGCTTGTGTTTGTGTGTGCATATATGTGTATGGGCATGTGTGAATGTGTGTGTGTACATGCATGTGGACGCTAACTCTTGGTGTCAGGTGTCTTCTTCAATAACTTTCCACTCTATGTTCTGAGACAGAGTCGCTCACTAAGCCTGAAGCTTGCTGATTGGCTAGGCTGGCTTGCAAGCTCAATGGAGCCCCGTATCTCTGCCTCCCAGGTGCCAGGGTTACGGTTTCACCAAACCTTGTTCTCAGCTTGCACACTGGGATTAAACTCGGGGGCTTATGTTTGCCATCTCCTTTTTGCTTTGTTTTGTTTTTTTTTTTGTTTCTTGATACAGGGTTTCTCTGTGTAGCCCTGGCTCTGTAGACCAGGCTGACCTCAAACTCACAAAGCTCCACCTGCCTCTGCCTCTCGAGGGCTGGGTTTAAAAGCCTGCGACATCACTAACGCCTCACACCATATCCTAACCCTCTTCCTTTAAAAAAAAATCTTTTTACTTTAAAAGTTTTAGTTTTACAGAAAAATTCATTTTCTTTTTGGAAGTGCTGCTGAATGAGCCTAGGGCCTTGCCTGTGTGAGGCAAGCGCTCTGCTATGGGGCTCAACCGCAGCCTTCTGGAAACAGTACAGAACGCCACGCCCAGTTTCCTCTACTCTCCGCATTTCCTGACAAGGCACATTTGTGGCAATGAAGAAACCGATATCAGTGCCTTACCACTGAGATGCATGCTCTATGCAGACCTCTGCTCTTGACTGTCCTCTGTCCTAAGAGTCGGTCCAGGATAGTGAGTCACATTTAATCCCTGTTCTCTTTGGTTCCTGTCCTTGCTTCTTTGTTATTCATGATCTTGACAGTCTGAGGAACACTGGTTTGTAGTCTATCTCTCAGTCGGGATAGCACTAATATTTTTCTCAGGCTTCCACTGGGGTGCAGTGCTGTGGGACAATGGTCTGTACCTTGTATTTTAGATAAACGCGATTGACCAGTAGCCAGGCAGGAAGTATAGGTGGGGCGACCAGGCAGGAAGCAGAGGCAGGGCAATGAGAATTCTGGGAAGTGGAAAGCTCAGTCTTGCGGCCAGATGCAGAGGATGCAAAACGTGACTGCCTCGCTGAAAAAGGTACCAAGCCATGTGGCTAACACAGACAAGAATTATGGGCTAATATTAAGTTACAAGAGTTAATAAGAAGCCTTAGATTTTAGGCCAATCAGTTTATAATTAATATAGACCTCTGTGTGGTTTCTTTGGGACTTAACGACTGCGGGAACCAGACAGGACAGAAATCTCTGTCAACTGTTCAGGTCTCTGGGAGGAGGGCCACGGGAGTGAAGGCGGTTTCCCCACGCTATTGACACAGTTTATCACTGGGCCTTAATTTTGATTGCTTGGTTAAGGTGCTACTTGCTGAGTGTCTCCAGCGGGAAATGAAGAGCCCCCCCCCCCATTCAGGCCCTTGTCTAGTGTGCTGTTTGTAAGGAAGTCACTATACAGTTCACACTAAAGAGTCTGGACTCAGCTCTGCCTCCTCGCAGCAGCTGGTCACGTGACTTACTTGTCCGGCTAGATGAGGGGTTTCTCTCTCCTCTCGTGCAATTATTCTATCATGCACTGTCTTAGAGTTTCTCTGGCTGTGACTAAAAACACTATGACCAAAATTAACTTGGGGAGGAAAGGGCTTATTTTACTGTATAGCCTGTGTTAAGCTGACATAAAACCAGCCAGCATGCCTGTTTATTCTGTTATCAGGTTCAACACAGTGATATTTGTTGTGTGTTTTAGATACCATCCCTTATTATTTATTTACTGCTCAGTTATCTCCTGCTTTGGCTATTGGGAGTTGCTTTCAGTTTTCCCATTGTACTCCCATCTGTCCACATGCTGTGGCATTTTGTGTGTGGGGTGTGTGTGTGTGTGTGTGTGTGTGTGTGAGAGAGAGAGAGAGAGAGAGAGAGAGAGAGAGAGAGAGAGAGAGAGAGTTTGCATGTGTATGTGACTGCATTTGGGACCACTTCCTTACTTTTGGGCACTATGAGATGCTCCATTATCTCCTCAATGTGGCCTCCTTCCCAGACATAATCAGTCCTTCCTCCAAGAAGGCCTAGGTCCTCTAATTAGAAAATGGCATTAGAAACCAAGGTCTAAGCCGGGAGATGTTGGCTCATGCCTTTAATCCCAGTACTCAGGAAACAGAAGTCAGACTGGTCTCCAGGACAGCCAGGGTTACCCTGTCTCAAAACAAACGAAACAAATGGATGGACAGATGGAAAGGAAGGAAGGAAGGAAGGAAGGAAGGAAGGAAGGAAGGAAGGAAGGAAGGAAGGAAGGAAGGAAGAGATGGAGGAACGAAAGAAACCAGGATCTATGCATTTCAGTCTATGTATAGGAATGGGGTTACAAAGCAGCTTTATTTTGGCAAAGCAACATTGGGCGGTGTGTCTTAATGGCAAAACTAAGAGTCGCTAAGGGGAGGTTGGGAAGGGGTGGGCACTGTCCTTGGGAGAAGAATATGGATGGATCATAGGAGCCTCACAAAGCCAGGAAAGGACTCTGACCCTGTCTTGGGTCTCTTCCAGAGTGAACTTACGATTCTTCCACCATCAGACAATAACAAAGTCATGGGACAATGGAGAACTGGTTGTGAACTGTGTGTGTGTGGATGTGTGTGAAGGCCAGCACCATGTCTCTCCCTCTGGTACTCTCTACCTCACTTTTTGAGACAGGGCTCATTATTAGCCTGGAGCTTCCTGATCAGGTTATTAGGCTGGCTGGTGGCAAGTTCCACAGACCCACCTCCTTGTTTCTGCCTCTCTGGGGCCAAGATTATAGGTGCGCACCACGGTACCCTGTGTTTATGTGGGTGCTGAGACCAGAACTCAGGGCCTCGGCTTGTGCAGCGAGCACTCTGCCAGCGGAGTCATCGCCTCCGCTCCTGGCTATGAATTCGATGAAATGGGCCAACTCTGTACAGCATAAAGTCTTTGTCCCCGGAGGAAGACTCTGCAGAAGGAACAGTGAGTGTGGCTTGTGTCAGTTGATAACTGTAGCTTTTCCCCTGGATTTGGACATTCATAACCTTGTGCTCTGTCCTCATGAATCAGGATCAGACTCCATTTCCACCCGCACATCCCTCATCTCTGGCTACTGCTCCCATTCCTGGACAGTTTTGTGAGATTCCTCAAGCCAAACAATGGTGCAAACTTTTCAAAAATTTTGTCTTCATTTTTGCTTTTTCTGTCAGACAGTAAAAGTAAGTAATTTTCACACATTGATTCACAGAAAGGGAAGCCCTGATGAGAAGACACTATAGGCAGAAACACACAGGGTCTGCACTGTAGGCCTGGGAAAAGACCCAGGAGAGCTTTGTACCTCCCCCCGAGTCACAGTGCTGGGCCGTGAATGCCAAGCCTATGCTTGGGTCTCTAGATTTTTCAAAAGTCAGCAAGCAACTTACCATGACCCCTCTGTCACAGTGCGACATGTTCAAGTGATGAAAATCCAGACTCAAACTGGATTTAGAATTTAAAATTGCATTCATTTAAAACTGCAGCATACCTGCCTTTTGCCCTCAATATGTTATGTCAGCCTTTGATCCAAATCAGCAGAGGCCTGGAGAAAACAAGGAAATTAATAAGTCCCGTCTTCCCAGTCTCACACCCAGAAACCCACACGCCAGAAGCAAGAGCAGCAAGGGCTTTCTGTGCAAAGGCTAAAACACATTTAGAGGAGAAAGGGCTCGATAAGCTGTGAGTGTTCATTCTTCTTCATTATTTTTTGGCAAATAAGCTTTTTCCTCTAAGCCAAAGGAGATATCATCAAAATACTTTGTTGCCACACCTGCGCTCCAGATCTCCTGGGAAGAATGAGTTTGCTTGACTAGGCAGTACTGATGCTTTAGATGAGAAAATTATCATGACGGTGCCTGTCCCATGTGCTGTGCGATGTGGAGACGCCTCCCTAGCCTCACTCATTAGCTACGAGTCGTGAACCCTTCTCAACCAACCAGAACTATCTCCAGACACTGACAGCTAACTGTACCTTTCAGGCAAAGGGGTAGGGTGTGTGTAGTTGAGAACCATGGGTAATGTCAAATCTTCTGTATCACCATGACAGAGCACTCTGCTTTTTGTTGCTGTGATAAAACACTCCGATGAAAAGACTCTTAGGAGGAAAGGGTTTATTTCCGCTCCCTCCTCCAGGTCACAGTCTGTCACTGAGGGAAGTCAGGGCAGGAACTAAAGCCACGGAGGATACTGCTGGCTGCCTCACCACTCTCCCGTTCACTCTGCTCTCAACTGGTTTCTTACGTGTCTAGGCATGGTGTCACCCACAGGGGACTGGGCCTTCCCCTATCAATCATCAATCCAGTCAATTTCTCATAGACATGGCCACAGGCCAGTCTGATTGGGCAATTCTTCAGTTAAGGTTCCCTCTTCCCAGATAACACTGGGTTGTACCAAGATGATAATAAAAACTAACCAGGATGGGGGAAAAGAAATTTTATAGTGAGCTATAACTATCTTATAAAGAAAGATATTGTCTTCGTTACAGTTTCTATTGCTATGAAAAGACACCATGACCATGGGAAAACATTTAATTGGCTGGCTTAAAATTCAGAGGTTCATCCAGTTATCATCATGGTAGGACATGGTGACATACAGGTGGACATGGTGGCATGCAGGTGGACATGGTGGCATACAGGTGGACATGGTGGCATGCAGGTGGACATGGTGGCATACAGGTGGACATGGTGGCATGCAGGTGGACATGGTGGCATACAGGTGGACATGGTGGCATGCAGGTGGACATGGTGGCATACAGGTGGACATGGTGGCATGCAGGTGGACATGGTGGCATACAGGTGGACATGGTGGCATGCAGGTGGACATGGTGGCATACAGGTGGACATGGTGGCATACAGGTGGACATGGTGGCATACAGGTGGACATGGTGGCGTATAGGTGGACATGGTGGCATACAGGTGGACATGATGGCATGCAGGTGGACATGGTGGCATACAGGTGGACATGGTGCTGGAGAAGGAGATGAGAGCTTTACATCTTGACATGCAGGCAACAGGAAGTAAACTGAGATATTGGGCATGCCTTGAACATAAATGAGACCTCAAAGCCCACCTCCATAGTGATACACTTCCTCCAACAAAGCCGCCTCTACCCCAACAAAACCACACCTCCCGATAGTGCAACTCCTTTTGGGGGACCATTTCTTTTTAATCACCATAGGCATCTTTTGTGCCATGGGACATATAGTTTGTCTCTGACCCAATGTAAACGAAACAGTCAAGAAGAAGAGGAAGAAAAAGATGAGGAGAGATCAGTTGTGTGGCTTGAATGAGCAGGCTCCCTCATAGGCTCATTCCTTTTGCATGCTTATTCCCAACTGATGAAATGGTTAAGGATTAGGAGGTATGGCCTTGTTGGAGTAGATATGAGATGTGCCATGGGGTGGGCTTTCAGGTTTCAAAAATCCATGCCAGGTATAACCTATCTGACTGTCTGTCTATCTATCTATCTATCTATCTATCTATCTATCTATCTATCTATCTATCTATCTGCTGTGAATGCTTTAATGGGGCTTAATGAGACTTCCTGGTTGAAACTTGGAAGCCAGTAGTTCTGAGAGCAATGTAGGCTGGACTCAAGAATAAACAAGTGCCCCACAGACCATTCTTGTGATGTTTTGACAAAGAATGTGGCTGTTTTATGTCCTTGTCCTCATTATCTGTCTGAGGCTAAACTGAGGAGTTTGGGGTTAATGGCCCTGGCAGGGGATTAACTGTGTCCTGAGGTTATTAGTGACCAGCTTTATGCAGATTTATGTCAAAAAGGAGCAGGCAGGGCAAAAAGAAATGCAAAATGTACAGTTTGAGGAGCAAAAGAGCCCCCAGGAAGTGTAATGCTGGAGTCAAGTCCTGTTAAATGGACCAAAAGGAGTGGTGACCTTGGGTCAAGACACCACCCAGCTAACGCAGCAACCTGTGAAAGGAGCAAACCTGAGGGATTTGCTTGGCTTAGAAACCATCAACAAATCAAAGTTTCTACAAAGCAAGTCATCCAGAGCGCCAAGTTTCAGCCCAAGTAAGCAGCAGAACTTGGCAGCTTCGCCTTGTGGTTCTGGCTTAAGCGTAAAGGATAAAGGAGGGGGTTATTGAATCTTCCTCCATGGTTAAAGTGCTGATGACATGCATTAGGTAAGGCAGCCACTGTATGGAGGCCCAGAGAAGCCATTTCTCAAAGCTGTGAAGGTAAAACCTGGATTGCATTGGTGTGGGAGATGCCAGAGCCCTGGGATATTTGCCGAGGAGAGCTATATATTATAGACCAAGTGTGGAACCAGCCCAAGAGAGAGAAGTGTGTTTCAGTCAACAAAGCTAAAAGGAGATGGAGATCTGGAGAGTACTTTGACACCAGACATAGAAATGCAAAATTTAGAGTTTGCCTTGCTGATATTTGGTCCCAGTATTTGGAACAAAGGGAGTGATATTTGATTTTTGGTTCCATTATTTCCTTACTATACTCCTTTTCCTCCCCCTTTGGACTAGGAGGAATGTAAGTATTTTGATTTTGGTTTTACAGGGAGTTACAGTTAAGATATAGGGTTGGTGACGGGTGGTGGTGGTACACTCCTTTAGTCTCAGTACCTGGGAGGCAGAGGCAGGTGGATCTTCAAGTTTGAGACCAGCCTGGTCTACAGATTGAGTTCCAGGACAGGCAGGGCTGTTACACAGAGAAACAAAACAAACCAACCAAACAAAAAAGGTCACTTTGGGTCTCAGAAGAGACTTTAAACTTGTAAACAGTGTTGAGACTGGGGGACTATGAGGACTTTTGATGTTGGACTGAATGCATTTTGCACTATGATGTGACTACAAGACCATGGGCCAGGGAGTGGAATGTGAAGGTCTGGATGAGAATGGCCTCCCTAAATTCACGTGTGTGCATGCTTACTTCCCCGTGGATGAACTGGGAACTATCATCATCTGGAAATATCTTAACTCACAATCTGATGTCCTGGCCTGTGGTAGCTCAGAATCTAACTACTGTAGGATGATGTTCAAAGACACTTGTTAGCCTGTTTAGAAGGCCTAAGCTTCCTCACAGTATGGTGGCCTCCTCGTCGTCAGTCATCTTGCCTGACTACTCTGTAAGGTTGGAGGTTTGGGTGATGAGGGCACACCCCTGAGGGAAGCAGCTACCGGAAGGTTTCTGTTAGGGCTAACGTTATAATTCTTGGCTGGGGTCAGATCCGCGTGATGATTCTGTGAAAATTTAGAGTGGTCCTCATGCTATCATTCGCTCACTTTTATGGGAATATACTATAGTTATACATGGATTAAACATCTGAAGAAGGCATATCTTGCAAGTAATGAGACACATGAGTCAAGGGACAGAGCAGATATTGGCCTCTGGGCAATCTCTGTCCCAGGGAATCTAGAAGGTTAAGGTCTTTTTACTTTTATGTTTTTGACAGGACTCAAGTCGCTCAGGCTGGCCTCCAGCTCCTTACATAACCGAGGATGACCTGCAGCTTCTAATTCTCCTGCTTCTGCTCCGTAAGTGCTGGGACTACTGCGTGGTGCTGGGGATTGAACCCCTGGCTTTGTGCATGCTAGGCAAGTGCTCTACCAACTAAGCTATAGTCTGTAAACTCTGGAAGCTTATTAAGTTATCAGGGAACATTGCCAAAGAAACCCTCAGACTGGACTGTGACAAACCACGACAGGTAAAGACTCCAAATCACACCACGTCCCAACTCCGCACCAGCAGGAAACACCACGGCTCCAAGCAGCAGCATTTCCAGTGCTGGCCACTCAGAGATGGCCACTGGGGGTGAGGATCAGAGAGTGACCTCAGAGCACAGCACAAAACCGTGTGTTTGCCAGACCCGCTCTCAAGTCCATGTTCAAGCTCTGGGGAATGTTTGCTTACTTACTCTGGCTCCCCAGCAGTATCTGTGTGCTAGGCAGCTGTGCTCCTTCCTTTTCTTGTGACTGAAACAAATGCAGCTTAGGGAGAAGAAGACTTCTTTTGGCTGACGGTTAAGAAGGCCAAGGCCTGTCATGATGTCCAGACATGGCGGCAGGAACATGGAGCAACTGGCCATGATGTGTCAGAGAGAGATAAATGCTGGTGCTCCATTCAATCCTCCTTTCTTTTTATTTAGTCTGGACCCCAAGGCCATGGGATCATGCTGCCTAAATACCCGGTGGATTTTCTTCCTCAGGGAAACATATTCATGGACAAACCAGAAGTGTGTCTCCTAGCTAACTCCAAATCCAGTCAACTTGAGGATGAAGACAGATATCAGAGTGGCACATCTCTAAAAGAGAAATCGTCCACTGTCGCCCCTGCCCGGCATATCAAACCCAGAGATAAAGGAAAAACAGCCCGAAATGGAATATCTCTGGCAATGAGAAGAAAGGAAAATGATGGGTACAGCCTCAGGATGCCCCATCTTCACAGGGCAAGAGGTGGGGGAGCCATGAGTAGGCTGCAGTCTATGTCTTGGTCAGCACCTTTGGTGCTCTCACCCTTTCTTACTAACTGCAAGAATGCGTCTGTCCAAGATTTACCGTGACAACTTCCGCAATGGAAGCAATTAAGGTGTCTTCATGAGGGGCTGTTTGAACGTCTGCTTCCTCCACAACCCAAAGACTGGGTGCTCTAGCAGCAACGGATCGCTAGTGTTCATGTTCCAGTTCTCTGGCAATAATTTCGCTACATCTTGGTGAACTCAGTGAATGCCCTGATCTGTTTGATCTTTACAGAGCTTGTTAACTAATAACTAAGTTCAAACATCAGTGTCTGGTCAAAATCCTTGAACTACACTTGCCTTTGTTGCGCTGGACCCCAATTATCTCATCATATCTCATCATAGACTCCCGAGGAGCACTTCTTTGAACTTGAGAAGGAGACAGAGCAGATGGGGCCCCCACACCTGGCTGGCATGCCCGTGCGTGTCTGTATGGCAGGTGTGGGTGTGGAGTCAACACCTAGACTGGAACAAGGACTTGCAGCGCGCTGCGGGGGGGGGGGGGGGGGGGGGGGGGGGGGGGGGGGGGGGGGGGGGGGGGGGGGGGGGGGGGGAGGCAGAAGCACAAGGGGCAGTGGCATTTGCTCCAGATCCGAGAGGATGAGTAATGTTTTATTTCTAACAGAGGCTTGGTATTTGCAGACTTAGCCATTATCAGGAACTGGCAGTGGGGTGTGGCCAGGAATCGGATTGAAGGGGCAATGGAACTCCTCTGAGAAGGTTATCGAAGCAGGACAAAAGGTGTTCAGGGTTCTGAAGGTGATCAGACACAGGGGGATCTGGCCAGCATGGTGGGGGCCGGGGGAGATGTGGTGGAGTTGGGGAGAGTGGTGAAGTGCTTCTTGTCTAGGAAGATTTCACTCAGGGCGGATCATTCCCAGACCCACGAGAACTCAGGACAGGGCCTGAATAAGTCGCCACCTGCCTCTGTTGATCCTGTGAAGGCGCAATGTCTCAAGAGAGACCCTCTGGCTAAGTGAGGTCTGCACGCTTTCATGTGGGACAGGATCAGATCAGGTGGCCCTAGGCTTGGATATAAGACCACGAGATGGTTGAACGAGCTATCTACTGGCCTACGACCCTATTCTAAGGAAACAGTCTACCCAGGAGGCAGCTCCAGCAAAGAAAAGATCTGGAGTGTCCCACTGCAGCAGGGCACTCGTATCCTTTCCCATGATGCTAAAGAGAGCGCTTATGTCAGTCTCGGACTGGAATGTGCACCTGCTCCCGCCCATCAGGAGGGAAGTTTGGTGGGACAACCGTGGGATGCTGAAGGGGAGGACAATCACAGTGAAGCTTTGTTTTTGCTTTGTTTTGGACTCCCAGTGTAACTCACTTCTTCAAGGTCCCAAGAAATTGCACTGCTCACAGATAGTCCAGGAAAACGCTGCTAAGTCAGACGAAGGAAAAAGGAGGGAGAAGGGAAGATGCTCCACACCCTGGGAACGTCTTTCCTTGTCACCCTCGTCACCATGTCCTCTTAACCCTAGCCTCCAACTCACCACACACGTGAGGCTTTTTTTTTTTAATGGCTTTTTTCACCCTGCTCCAGAGTTTCTCCCCACACCAAAGAACCTGATCCTGGAGCCCCCTCCGCAGTGTGGAGTCCATGCCACACCACAGTTAACCTCACCTTACTGTCTCAGGTCACCTCTCCTGGGTACTGGGCATCAGTCCCTGATGGTGGTGCACAGTGGCACCTGATGGGACAGCTGCTCCAGTGTGGGCGTTCAGTCTAAGCAGCCTGTGGCGATGGGCCCTATCTCTGGTGCCTGTTGGTTTGCTTTGTTCCCAAAGCTGGAAGGACTGTTGGGCAGATGGGAACCCGTCTTGTAGTGTAATCTGAGTGGCTATGATGGCCTCGGAGAACTGCGGGCTGATTATCCTAATCCCTAATGCTCCTAATCAGAAAGCTTTTGCCAGCTGGCATGATACTATAAGTAGAAAATGCCGCTCACCTTCGTCTCTGGAAGTCACAGTCAAAATGTGGGCACATTAAAGCATTGCACAAGGGCTGGCAAGGTGGCTCAGTGGGCAAAGGTGCTCGCTGCCAAATCTGACGACCTGAGTTTGACCTCTGGGAAGCACATGGTGGAAGGAGAGAGCCCACTCCTGAAAGTTGCCTCTGACCCCCACTCACGTGGACACCCACACATTTACACTTATACATAACAAACAAGTTAATATAATTCTTAAGGATATTCTAAGACCAAGCAGCGGTGGCACATGCCTTTAATTCCAGCACTTGGGAGGCAGAGAGAGGTGGGTCTTTATACATTCCAGGCCAGCCTGGTCTACAAAGTGAGTTTCAGGATAACCAAGGCTATAGCGAAATCTTGTCTCAAAATAAACAACAACAAAAAAATTCTGTAAAATTACTTCTAGGCTATGGTGTATACAAATGTGTAGGATCAATGAATTTCATATTTTGACTTAGTTTGTGTTTTGATTTAGGTCCCATTACCTAGAAATCTCACTATGAATATACAAGTATTCTCAAATCTAAAATATGTCAGTTTTCTGTGAGACACGATATAACCATGTAGCTCTTGCTAGCCTGGAACTCACTACATAGACCAAGCCAGCCTTGAACTCGGAGATCCATTAGCCTCTGGCCCTGAGAACTGGGGCTAAAGGTGTATAATACCACATCCGACTAGAGTTTTGGATCAAGATACTAGCCAGTGCTTTTTCCAGAGTCCTTGCCTCACTCCAGGAGGAGCCCACAACTGGGGGTCAGGGGTTAAGAGGTGGCTGGGGTGGAGTTGTTTGGCAGTTGCCAGGCTCTGATAACAGGTCTGGTTGAGTCACTGGGTATGCTGAGAGCTAGCAAGGGAAGAAGGCGTCTCTCCTGCTCACTTCCTCACTTCCTCTATTCCCTCCCCTCCCATGACTCTCCCTGGCTACCTCCTCCCTGGTCCATGAATTCCCTGGAATTTCCTGCCTACCTCTTCCTCCTGCCTCAAACAAGAAACTCCAGACACCTGTGGCAGTGACATTTTAGGTCCTCAATAGGCAGCCCTAACCCAAGGATCTACAAAGTACCCAGCAATCCTTGTGTTTGTGTGGGTGTGGGTGTGTGTGCCTGTTACTCTAACCCAAGTGGACCATGCAATTCCTATTTGGGACACCGACTATGTGGCAGACAGTAAACCTCTGTAGAAGTAGATGGGTTTTAAGGACATAGACCTGTCAGAGCAAGGCAATTCAAGGGTTGCTACCCTTGGAGGGCAACACTCCCAGATTCTAAGGATGAACTGCTGGAAAGGGCCCAAAGCTTGCCCAATACTGCTGTCTTAGTTAGGGTTTCTATTACTGTGAAGAGATACAGTAACTCTTACAAAGAAAACATTTAATTGAGGTAGAGGCTTACAGTTTCAGAGGTTCAGTGACAGGGATCATGGCAACTAGCAGGCAAACGCCATCACATTTTGACCAGAAGGCAGCAGGAAGTCAACTGACTGTCAGACTGAGTGAAGCTGGAGAAAAGAGCCCACCCCCATAGTGACACACTTCCTCCAACAAGGCCACACCTTCTAATAGTGCCTGGGGAGGCATTTTCTTTCAAACTACCACAACCACCGTCAATGTCAGCTTCAAAAGCACCTGCAACCCTCACTAGCACCACAAATTAAATCCAGGGCTCCTTTGCCCTTGAACAAAGCTCTGTCAGCCCCCTGGGCATTTACATGGGAAGGCCTTCCTTGTCCGGCCTTTACCTTGCTGAGATGCAGTTCACATCAACTAGTATGCCACACAGTTGTGTGACACTCTCACAGGTGACCCATGATAGTATTTCTTCTCAGTTTTATGGATACAGACACTGAGGCTGGGGCTCTGGGAATAGTCTGGGGTCTGGGAGTAGTCTGACTTGCAGGCATGAGGACCCTGAGTTTGATCCCCAGAACTCATGTTAAAAAAAAAAATACCTGGCATGGTGAGACAAGCTTGCAATTTTAGTGCAGGGAGGCAGAGACAGGAAGATCCCAGAGGGCCTCTTGGCACACCAGAGAGCCTAGTCAGGGAGTGCCAGGTTCCAGGGAAAGCCTGGTCTGTAGTGTGCTAGCCAATGTCACAGTGGCACAAGTAGATGCAGCCCAGGTCCATCTAAGTTCTGGAAATTTCCCGACCCCAATCCTTATCATTCTTTTTTTTTTTTTAAGAATTTTATTTATTATGTATATAGTGTTCTGCCTGCATGTAAGTCTCCACATGAGAAGAAGGCACCAGATCTCATTGTAGATGGTTGTGTGATGTAGGTAGGACTTCTACTTTCATTGTTTAATAAAGAAACTGCCTTGGCCCTTGATGTAGAAAATTAGATAGGCTGAGTAAGCAGAACAAATGCTGGGAGGAAGTGAGGCAATTGCCATGCCTCTCTTCTCTGGGTCAGACGCAATGAAGCTCCGGCCCAAGATGGACGTAAGCTAGAATCTTCTTGGTAAGACACCACCTCATGGTGCTACACAGATTACTAAATATGGGTTAAGCAAGATATGAGAGTTAGTCAAGAAGAGGGTAGATATAATGGGCCAAGCAGTGTTTAAAAGAATACACTTTTGTTATTTCAGGGCATAAGCTAGCCAGGCAGCCGGGAGCTGGGTGGCAGGACGCAGCCCGCAGCTCCTTCTACAGTTGTGAGCCACCATATGGTTGCTGGGAATTGAACTCAGGACCTCTGGAAGAACAGTCAGAGCTCTTAACCTCTGAGCCATCTCTCCAGCCCCTCTTTGGCATTCTTTATCCTCTTATAGATTCCTATTTTTCTTATAGCT